TACCGCCTGGGCTCCGCCTCCTGTCAGATCAGTGGTGACAACAGATTCTCATAGGAGCACAAACCCTATTGTGAACCGCACACACAAGGGATCTAGGTTGCCTGATCCTTATGAGAATCTAACGCCTGATGATCTGTCACTGTCTCCATCACCCACAGATGAAAAACAAGCTCCCACTGATTCTACATTATGGTGAGTTGTATAATTAGTTCATTATATATTACAATGTAGTAATAATAAAGTGCACAATAAATGTAATGGATTTGAATCATCCTGAAACCACCCCCAACCCAGCCTGGTCTATGGAAAAACTGTCTTCCATGCAACCAGTCCCTGGTGCCAAAAAGGTCGGGGAGTGCTGGTGTAGAGACTTCCCTAAGATAACCAGAGTAGGGCTTTGCTCTGTGGCTACTCTGGTAGTTCTCTATGAACCCAATTCACTGCCTTGTGAAATGAAGTCCTTCAAGTACCTTCAGTAACTAAAACTTCTCTGATGGGTTCATAACAAAATAATCTTATTCTAAGTTCTGCTTTATCATGAAGTGTGAGAGTCCTATTGGATTTTTCTTTCTTTTTCTTTTTTCTTTTTTTTTTTTTTAGACAGGGACTTGCTCTTGTCACCTGGCTGGAGTGCAATGGTGTGATCTCAGCTCACTGCAACCTCCGCCTCCCTGGTTCAAGTGATTCTCCTGCCTCAGCCTCCAGAGTAGCTGGGATTACAGGTATTCATCACTATGCCCGGCAAATTTTTTGTATTTTTAGTAGAGATGGGGTTTCACCATGTTTGCCAGGCTGGTCTTGTACTCCTGACCTCAGGTGATCCACCCACCTCGGCCTCCCAAAGTGCTGGGATTACAGGCGTGAGCCACTGCGCCCGGCCACATTTTTCTTATTTAATTTAAAAAGCCTCCAAGATGAACAGTGTCCTTCCATACTATGCATCTTGATCAAATCTGTATCATTCTTAAGAAAGATCTCAGCAAATTTTATATGAAGCCTTTCCCTCCAGGTCAATTCAAGATACCTAAATACCATATAAGGCTACTAAGTGCCTCATGAGTAAGGTAACAATTTCTCTCTTTTTCCAGTGTTACACTACCATTGCTCATTCTGTTTTTTTATTAGCATAGATTTGAAAGCTGTAAAGCATTAAACATTAAAACAAGTCCAATAGAATGTTCTCTTCTTATTAATAAAACTAGTTTGAGAATTATTTTCAGTAAACTTTAATAACATCCATAAAGTCTGAACGCAGTGCTCTACTATGTTAGGATATTTTGAAAGAATTACTTCCTAAAGGATCAACGGTTCTTCACAACACTTTTTTTTTTTTACATTAAAGTTTTTAAAATTAAGTTAACCTGGATCCTGGATTCACTGTAACATTTTACCTGATTCATTTAATTCAGGCCAACACTATGAAGCTACAGTTATTATACTTTGATTTAAAAGGTATTTAGACTTTAGGTCAGTTTGAATGAAACCAAAATTCATGTAACTTTAAATTCCACACTTACCTACTGTCTTCTAACTGTATCACTGTCATTTGGCCCAAGTTTGCATAAATCCAACCTCTGATCTATTTGAAATCAACAAAGAAAGCAATGAAAACATTACCTGATATCAGGGATTCTAACATCTATAGAGTGACAATAATTTTCCACAATCTATTAGAAATCAAATCTATCATTTAAAGAATTCAGATTTCAAAAACCATGAAACACTGGTGTATTACATTGCCAATATGCAGTCACTTTCTCTCCAAAACTTTTAGACCACTTTAGGCTGAGTCTTAATAGTTGTTGGTCTTAAGGAATTTATCCCTGAGCCTTGGTTTTCTCACATATGGCAATATGTGAATCCTCATATTTTTCAAGGATTGAATTAAATAATTATGCAAAACTCTTAGCATAGTGCCTGGCACATAAATGATCAACAAATGTTAGTTGTCATTATCATTTTTTAACTAACCGTTTCAAAGGACATGCACACAAAAAAGTATTAATAAGAAGCCAAGAATAAACTGTAGAATCTGGGTTTGCATCAGTTCTGCCACTAATTCATTCAGGAGCAACTCACTTATTCTCTCAGATGCCTCATCTGTAAAAGAGATATAACACTGGTCTGACCCTGAAAGTTACAGTAAGGAACAAGGTCACCCAAAGCACGCTGGTTTTACTTTGATTACAGCACTTATAGCTGAATGCTTTTACAACTGTATGCCATCTGTCTACTTATTTGTGAATTGATAAAAGGAGGAGACCATATCTTAGTCTTTGTATTTTCCACTCCAACCTGGCAGAACATTGCATCAGGTAGGTGCTCAATAAATATGTGATAAATTCAGTATTACTGCACATCAAAAAGGTCAAATAAATTAATACAATGAAACAGTCACAAGAAACACAAAGAAAAATCCATGCCCCTAAACTACAGTCCCTAGTTATCCAATTAAAAATACGAACACTCTTCTCTTGGCAAAAATAAATGGGTACTACTAAGTTGGCTATACAGTGGATCCTGCAGAGCAACTCCTCCTCTCCTATTCAATCCTTCCAACATGGCATACTCCCTTTGCCAGCAGGCCTTTGCCCTTCCTTCTCAGAGGACAGGATTCATGCCTTTTTCTCCTTTATACAGCCAGGGTTTAGAACAGTGGCACATTAAGTCTTCAATAAATGTTGGGTAAATTGAACTTGGGATAATGTCAGACATTTGACCTATAATTTTTCAATTTGCTGAGTAAGAAAGCAGTTCATTTTTATATGCAACTCGTTTTTTCCAATCCCATTGTCCTTTCTATCCTGTTGGTTACCCTGTCAGTCCAGAATTACAAGAACTTCTCAGATGCCTTTAAATACCTTGGACTAAGAAATTCTAGCTCAGTTTTCTAACTTTTTCTTTTTTACAAGGTCAATATATACCTATGCTGTGGTATCACACTACATTAAAAGAGACAATCTCTTAATATATTTAACATTCAATGCTAAATTTACTCTTCTTTTGTTTATTAATTTCTTTAGCTCTTATGTGAGTTTGTTTAGCATATGCATCTGGGCTAAAATCCCATTAAGATGACTAACGGTATTTTTTACATTATATAAAAAAGAATTCTATAGAAACAAACACACAATAAGAACCTGTTGAAAAAGGAATTCTCATTTATGCTCCAATGGAAAGACCCACCCAAAAGACTGTCACCTGATTGTGCTAAGTCACCTTATAAATCCATTATGAAAACCACTTCTAATGTCTTGATCTTGGTCTAATCTTCTAAACGCCCAGGTTGGTGATAAACTGAGCTACAGTTAAGTAGTTAATGGAGCTGTCATACTCTCAAAATAATGTTTAATCTTTCTTTAACTTTTAATTTTGTCACAGCTGTTTTATATATCATACCATTCTTACCCTTCGTAATTGCCCTTTAACTGCCATCTTAAACACTCCAATCACCTCAATAAAAACATTTCGTCCACAAATACACCAAAACCAGAAAAGGGTACTAAGAAATGTTAAAAGGTATATACATCCTGACACCTTTTTTTTTTTTTCCGTTCTGGATATCAATCATTTCTTAATACTTTTAAATTAACCTGAAATGAAGCATCAGCTCTCACTTAGCTGTAAGTTTCACATGTTTAAAACATTTCGGGCCGGGCGCGGTGGCTCAAGCCTGTAATCTCAGCACTTTGGGAGGCCGAGACGGGTGGATCACGAGGTCAGAAGATCGAGACCATCCTGGCTAACACGGTGAAACCCCGTCTCTACTAAAAAATACAAAAAAAACTAGCCGGGCTAGGTGGCGGGCCCCTGTAGTCCCAGCTACTGGGGAGGCTGAGGCAGGAGAATGGCGTAAACCCAGGAGGCGGAGCTTGCAGTGAGCTGAGATCCTGCCACTGCACTCCAGCCTGGGCGACAGAGCAAGACTCTGTCTCAAAAAAAAAAAAATTTTTTCATTTTTTTTTTAAGTCTACAAAATAAATTTAGACCAGGAATTTTTACCAAAGTTTCAGATATACACAAGAAGTTATGTTTGAACGCTTACCAACATACTCAAATATATATATTTTTTATATATATGAGAATACATATATAGTACATGTGTATATGTATATGCACACATACATATACACATATATGCACGTGCACACACACACATATATATATAAATTTGAAAAGCACTAGTATCTACTAACAATCGGTGTCTTTGAGGTGGCTGGTGGCATTGGAAAGAAGACAAACACAACCGAGAAATCCAGCACGTTGTTTCTTATGGATCTTCTTGTGATTCCATACACTGATCATAACTGAATCAGACTTTTCAATATACCGAAAAATCAAAACAGCTGCATGTGTATGTTGGTAGTTATAGGCAGTTATCGTAAAATTTTTCTCTTGTTCTTTTTATACCCTAAAGTTACAAATATGCTTCAGAGCCTGGCTAGATTATGCAAAATACGTGAGTTAATCCACAGGATTGAATTTAAATTTCTAATAATCTTGAAAGTAAAATCTAAAAAGAAATTTTAGTATATTTTTATCACATCTGCCACTCTCAAGCTGGGCTATAGTTCTGGTTAGTAAAAAGGCTATTTTAGTAGCTAGCGTCTAATAACACCAAGAGAGTTTATTAAATAACTTCTTTCCAAGAAAAAGAATATTAAAAACTTTTATCACAGTCACATTTTAAATACATTTCAATGGCATGACCTACTTTTCAAGGGATAGTGTCAAGGCTGACAGACCAAAAATCTGACCTACCTGTTATATTTTAAAATGCTGTAGAACAAAAGCTGTTTGTAACGCTTTTCCCCTGCTTCTTTCCTGTATGCAGGCCTTGAACGAGCAGGACTCTTGCAGATTTCACTTCACTGCCTGCAGACAAGCAGAGCAGGGAAAATCAGTACTGTACTTGTCTGTGGATATACCTGCAAGTATGTAAAGGCTCTACCACAGCCAATTGTTAACATGGCATCAATCTGTGCAAAAAGATAATAACATAATTATGTCAGTAGAATCCTAGCGCTATTTCAATGACATTAAGAGGTCAAAGTTTTAGTCTAAAGTATTGCTAACTCAATAAATTAGCAATATCAGAAAAATTCACCCACTATAGAGAAAAGCCTAAACCACTTAAGTAAGGACTAAAGATTTCAAATAAGGAACATGGAAGGTACACTTGAGCCCCGGGATCCAGCTGTGCCTAAAAAATGCCCACCCCTGGGCTTTTCATTATGCAAATTGGTACATTCCCTTTTAAAAAAATAAAGCCGATTTGAACTTGGTCTCTGTTGCTTGCAAATGAAAAGATCTGAACTAAAATATTGTTCAGTATACATGTACCAATTTTCAAATACACCTACCAGATCTGTCTTGGCATGTATCTACCGGCATGTAATTCCAGAGCCAGAATCCAGTATTAAGTAGCTGAATTACCCAAACCAAACATTTTTTTCAAAAGTCACATTAAACCAGTTGTCCAATTAGTAAGCCTGGTTTACAGGTATGCTGAAATACATATATTGATTACCTTAGTCCTCAGGGCAACGCACCACTGGCTTAAGCAACTTCATCTGTGTAGTCCAATGTGCCATATTTTTTATGTGCACCATGATTTGAAAAGGTTGGTAAATTCTACATTAAACCATAATAAGAAATTGCTAATTATGGACCTTCTAGAAGACAGCTTAACTCTGAATTACTCAAAATTATGACATATATTGTATTACTTAAGTGTACATGTCACAAACATTCTGTCTAAATATTCCTGGGCCAGAAATTAATCAGAAATATTACCTTTTCTTATACACAGAGAAGTATATGCTCTCACTTTAATGAATCTTCATGTAATATACATGGCCACATAAAAGAAAAAGTAAAGCCTTTTATAATTAAAAGTTAAATAGAGGGCTCTATTAGCTTCTATTAAAACTTTGACTTCACTAACAAATACATGATTTATAAACAAGTTTCAGGATGTTTTGTTGAGACAGGTAGATGGCAACCTCTATAGGTGAATATAATGTTACCATATAGACCAAAATATATATATACTCAGGATTTTGGGCTAAAATTTAATTATTAGACTTTTGTTTGTATAGTTAGCCAATTAAAGGCAAGGATTTTGCAAAATGACCTCAGACACAAGCAAGAGAGAAGCCTCTGATAGCCAATTAATATTAACTGTAACATAAAACCTAATAAGCACATGGAAAGATGCTCAACATCATTAGTCATGAGGGAAATGCACTTCAAAACCATGACGAGGTACAACTTCATACCCACTGGGGGGGCTACAACTTTTTTTAAAGGAAAATAAGTGACAGAGGAATAAAGAAACTTCCAGTGGAAAACAACAGTCATAACAGATCAAAATCAGGATGCCATCAGCAATACTCTGAACCTACACTGTCCAAAATGGTACCCACCAACCACACGGGACCCTTGAGTACTTCAAATGTGGCCAGTCCACATTGAGGCAAGCAGCCAAAGAAACCACTGAGTTTTTCTGAACATAAAATAAGAAAACTGCTGGTTTTTCAAAGACATAGTGAATATGTATATATACATAAATATGTAAGTAGCTCAATATTTTTATATTGACATGTTGAAAGTATTTTTGATATATTGAATTAAATAAAATACATTATGCTTAATTTTAAGCATAATAAATTATGCTTATCATGCATAACATAATTATATTATATTATGGGTCTCGCTATGTTGCCCAGTGTGGTCTCAAACTCCTGGCCTCAAGCTATCCTCCCACCTCAGCCTCCAGAGTAACTGGATTACAGGTGCAAGCCACCATGTCCAGTTTATTATGCTTAATGTCATCTGTTTCTTTTTACTTATCTTAATGTAGATGCTAGGAAATTTGAAATTACAGATGAGCTCCCATTTGTGCCTTGCATTATATTTCTACTCAACAGTACAGATCTAAACCTAGAAGATAATGGAGCAATGTATTCAACATTTGGAGATAAAGTGATGTTTCACCTAGAAGCTTATACTCAAACCATACCAACAGATAAGAAGTCAAAATATATTTTCTGATAAGATCTCAACTTTCTTCCCATCCTTGTATTATTTCTCAAAATGACAACAGAAGATATAGTTCACCATATCAAGAGAGTAAACAAAAAATAGGAAGTCACTAAACCTAGAAGAGACAAAGGAAATTGCCAACATAACAATAAAGGCAAGTCCCAGGACAACTGCACAGCAGGTCTTAGAGAACCATCACACCAGACTGAAGAAAGAACAGAGACTCCCAGGAGAGGTATCTCCAAGAAGAAACAAAGCCAATGGAATACTGACAGAACTGAATATATGGAGAAAAGATCTTTAGTTCTGTAGGAGAGTTTGAAGGATTATGACATATAATTTCTCATTTCTAGCTATGAGATAAATAGAAAACTAAACAAAAGGGAAAGTAGCTGCCTAACTTCAGAAAAAAACAAAAAGCTATCAAGAAAGAAATATAATTCTTGGCCGGGTGCGGTAGCTCACGCCTGTAATCCCAGCACTTTGGGAGGCCGAGGCGGGTGGATCACCTGAGGTCGGCAGTTCAAGACCAGCCTGACCAACATGGAGAAACCCCCATCTCTACTAAAAATACAAATTAGCCAGGCATGGTGGCACATGCCTGTGATCCCAGCTACTCGGGAGGCTGAGGCAGGAGAATCGCTTGAACCCGGGAGGCGGAGGTTGTGGTGAGCTGAGATCGCCGCGCTGCACTCCAGCCTGGGCAAAAAAGAGCGAAACTCCGTCTCAAAACAAATAAATATATATATATATAATTCTTGTAACCATGTGACCCAACTATGGATATTTACCGTATTCATAATACATGTAAACATGGAACAATGGTTTAACCAAAAAGGTTCATACAACATATTGGAAGACTAAAAAAAGGAGGGGCTTGTGAGTGGCATGAGAATGGGGATGATGAATACCAATTTTAAAAGCCAAACCACTGGACTGGGCATCGCAGTCCATGCCTGTAATCCAAATATTTTGGGAGGTGAAGGAGGGAGAATTGCTTGAGCCCAGAAATTCAAAACCTGACTGGGCAACATAGCAAGACCCCATCTCTACAGAAAATT